GAAGTTATTACGTGCCCAACCCACCCGCAGCCCCCAATGTGGCTGACAACTTGCTGGCTAGCTCAGACGCTGCCCTCTCAGCCTCCATGGCCAGCCTCTTGGAGGACCTCAGCCACATCGAGGGCCTAAGCCAGGCTCCCCAACCCCTGGCGGACGAGGGGCCACCAGGCCGCCCCATTGGGGGAGCCCCACCCAGCCTGGGTGCCTTGGACCTGCTGGGCCCTGCCACTGGCTGTCTATTGGACGATGGGCTTGAGGGCCTGTTTGAGGACATTGACACCTCCATGTATGACAGTGAACTTTGGGCTCCAGCCTCTGAGGGCCTCAAACCTGGCCCTGAGGATGGGCCAGGCAAGGAAGAAGCTCCAGAGCTGGACGAAGCCGAGCTGGACTACCTCATGGATGTTCTGGTGGGCACACAGGCATTGGAGCGGTCGCCGGGGCCTGGGCGCTGACCTCTAGGGCGGAGATGGTTGTCTAGTGTCTGAACTGAGCCTGGTGACTGGACAACTCTCCTTGGAAAGACACATCTGGCTTCCCTAGTACAGAGAGTGGCTTGGGCCACTTTGGAGAGATAGAATCCAGTCCTGGGCAACTTCACATCCGTCCTGTTGTCTTGAGGCTGGTGGGGGAGTCTGGGATTAGACCCTAGCGATGGAATGACAGGGTCTGATGACTGGAACATGATTGAGCCAGGCCCCCTGCTGGACTGAATCTGCTGGAGCCATAGCCTGGGCATTTCTTCCCTGATAGGGGAAGAGACCCCAACCAGTTTTTTCAAATTAAAACCAATCCTGGGAAATCTCAAGTCTGTGTGCTTCTTTGTCTCTGGGCAAATGCGAGGGTGAGATAATAACATTTAACATTTATTGAGCATGGACTGTGAACCAGGCACAGTTCCAAGCACTATTCATATGTTAACTCATTTAATCCCATAACAACCCCACCAGACAGGTATTATTGTAATACCCATTTTACAGTTGAGAAAACTGAAGCTCCAAGAGATATAACTTGAGGAGGTGGGTTTCAAATTATGAACTTCACTGCTTTATTGACCTGAAAAGACCATCTAGGTCTGGTAACTTGCCCTGGAGACAAATTCCCCAGGTTTCTCTGTTGTGCTTCTGTGTGTATGGGGGGTGGGGGCAGGGGGCAGCACCAGGGCCATTTATTAAAAATGAAATCTAGTCCTTGCCTGGAGTCTACCTGTATATGTTCAGGGGAGAGGGGGAGGGAAATTTCAGAATGTCCCAGAAATAAAAACAAAGCTGGAGGCTGGACGGAGCCTCTCCAAAGAGTACTGAGAGTCAGCTCTTCAGGAAAATGGTGAAAAAAAGGGTCAGCCAGTTTTTTAAAATAAAACACTTACCAGTCTCAAATCGCTCTTTGGGTAAAAGATAGGGCAGCTTGAAGGCTGTCTCTGAAAAAAAGCCACCAGGCATAGTGGCAGGGCTGAAGGGAGGCCCTGCAGGGGCAAGCGGTTGTGTTTTCCTTCTAGAAGAAACTCAGGCCCAGGCGAGCTAGGGCCACCTGCCTGACTGGCCGTGTGATAGGGCTGGCCAGAGCGCCGGGTGCCTGCAGCCGCCTCCGCTGTCCAGCCACATTCCTGGCCTGGCTGGGAGGAGCCGCACACTCAGAGGCCTGGCACGGGACCCAGGCTGCGTCCTTCCTGGCGGCCGTGGGGGCAGGGCAGAGCCCGGGGTGCTGGGGAACAGAGGGAGAGTCAACAAGAAAGCTGCAGAGAGAGGGGGGAGGGAGAGGAGAGAGCAGCAGAGGGCTGGATCTGAGGGTCAACTGGGCCTTGAATGAGGGGAACGCTGATGAGGGGACACCAAAATCGCTGGGCCCCAGTGCCTCCCCTCTGACCGGAAGGTTCAGGGAGGCTGAGGCTGGGGTGGAGCTGGGGGAGAAGGGGAGCTTCAGGTCGGCCCCATGGGCGGGAAGGGGCAGGCAGAATGGAGCTTCCTGGAGGGACAGAGGAAGTTGTGCCCATTTTTGGAAGTGGATGAGGCGGGCCAGGGAAGGGGGTGGAAAAGGCCTGTAGGGAGCTGGTGCCTAGGTGAGGGTCTTCCAGATGCCTGACTCCAACCCCTGGTGACTCCAACCCCTGGGCAATAGGCCTCAGTTTCGGTTTTGCCCCAGACTCAATCCTTGGGAGCCTAGGCTGAGCTCAGCAATGCCCTCTGGTGCCCAGTCTAGGGCTCTGTGATACTCCCACCTTAAGTTCCCTACAGATCTTGCCAGTGATCAAGGAGACCCTCAGTGTGGGATCATCAGTACTGTCTGTTTCTGATGTCTGAGTGCTAAATTGGAGGGTAATCTATGATACCTGCTCTTGCAGACAGCCTACCCATCTGTTGATAACACTCCCCTTTCCCGGGTGCCTGCTTGGCCAGTGATGTCCCCCTCTCCCCAGAGCCTCTATGTACAGTTGCACTGCACATAAGCTCCATATTTAAGGGATTGCCACAAATGTCCCAGGTACCATGCAATTTCCTGGTAGATGGAGGTCAAGAGCCTTGAGGAAGGAGCATGTCTTTTGCACAAAAGCACCATACGGGCTAGATTGGCCATGTTCCCAGCCCTCTGGTGCCCTCAGGTTTATGAATGGCTCTTGCTTGAGGACTTGCTCCTCTCTCCCCATGTCTGACCCCCGATGGTTGCACAGGCTTCCTGGCTCTGGTGTGCCACCCCACCCTGGCCAGCAGATTCCAGGGCCCACGCCATTCCTAGCTGAGCCGCCAACCCTGGCGCTACTGCTGTTCTTCATAGATCTTCTGTGTATTCCAGCCATAACACCTCCCTGGCCAGCTCCCCTCCACATTCACAGGAACCCCCACCAAACACACACACTTCTCTCCCTGACACCTGGGAGAGCTGTCCTTGGCCTCCTTTCCCTCCCTCCCCCCTCCCTCCCTTCTTTCCTTCCCTCATTCAGCAAAGATTTATGACTACCTATTTATGTCCCTGTCCCTATGTAAAAGGTAAGTCTGACCACGTCTTTCCCCGTCCCTGGGCCCTCAAAATATACCCCAGTCCTCTGGAGTCTGGACGCTGAGGCTGGGGAGGGACACAATATGTGCAAGGGGCTGGGGGGACACCCAGGGGAAGGCAGCAGAGCTGCTTGGCTCCTGGAACTGGAGCTCAGTAGAGAAGGCTGTGGAGCAGGAGCAGGCCTGAACGGGGTGGTGAGGGAGACATCAGTTTCCCTCAGCTGGACTGGGTGAGGCCCAGTGCTGGGATGGGCAGACAAGGCTCCCGCTTGGCTCAGACTGGGTCCAGAGAGGGTGGTCCCTGAGGAGAAGCTTCCACCTCCTTCCCAAGGCCTGCAGGATGTCCTGTGTTTACTGAGGTGGCCTTGGCTGGAACCAGGACACTGGAACCACCCCCTAAACTCAACTTCCCATGGCCACACCCCTTTGGGTGAGGGAAAGCAAGACAGACACAGAGAGAGAGACAAAGAAAGAAACAGAAAGACAGAGAATGAGACTGACAAGAAACCTAGAAGGAGCCTGGTGGGTTAGCTCAGTTGGTTAGAGTGCGGTGTTGATAACACCAAGGTCAAGGGTTTGAATCCCCATACTGGCTAGCCACCACCCTCCCCCCCCAAAAAAAGAATAAAAAAAGAAACCTAGAAAGAGACCGAGACAAGGAATAAGGACAGAGAGAAAAGGAAGAACCAAGATTTAGACGGACACAGAGACAGAGACTCAAAGAGAGATATACCATGCATGATAAACACCCACAGCAAACTAGGAAAGGGGGTTTCCTTAACATGATCCAGGGCATCTACAAAACACGAACAGTTAGTGTCACATTTAATGGCAAAAGACTGAATGTCCCCTTAGACTGGGAGCAAGCAAAGATCTCTGCTATTGAGACAGGGAGAGGACAGCGTGTACCAGCCTCCCTTTTTTCTGTTTGACTCTGAGCAGAGAGGTGGATTTTCTTCCCAAATCTAGCCTGGCCTGTAGCTCGAACCCTTTGCACCCTCAAGTACCTAAGAGCTCAGCTCTGACTCTGTCCCTCCCATAGCTACTATCCAGGGCCCACAGGACAAAGTCCCAGTCCTTCCTCACAGCTGTGTGGACCCCTGGACCTCCTCTCACACTCTCACATTAACCATTTTCTCAAAGGCCTTTGTACAGGCTGTTCCCTCTACCTGAAACACACTCTCATTTATTCACCACCCAAGGCTTCGTATTAACTTCCAAATATCCTTCAGGGGGCAGCTCAAATACTATGTCCTCCAGGAAGCCCTCCCTGACCTCTCTTCCTAGGCTGTGGCAGAAAACTTTCCTGGGCTCCCCTCGTCAGGTACCTGACCTCTCTGTCTGTGACACCCCCATCACAATCCTCACCATTCTGGGTTTGTTCTCTGCTGAACTATAAACTCTGTGAAAGCAAGCCTGAGCTGTCTCAGTCACACCGTGTCCCAGCACATCCAGCAAGGGGCTGGGCACAAGACCAGGTGCTCACTGAATGGTTGCTGACGTTGAATAAAGGACTGCTCCCTTTCTCACCTCTGGTCCTTTGCCAACGTTCGCCCCTCTGCTTGAAACCCACTTCCCTGATCTTTTCCTTGGCTTCCTCTTCCTCAACCTTCCAGTTTGACTTCAGATGTCACCTCCTGTACTAATCCTTTCCTGAGTCTGCCCCCCAGAGTACATTTAGATCTGTTGATATCCCCAGTGCCCACCACGTTCGCCCCTCTGCTTGAAACCCACTTCCCTGATCTTTTCCTTGGCTTCCTCTTCCTCAGCCTTCCAGTTTGACTTCAGATGTCACCTCCTGTACGAATCCTTTCCTGAGTCTGCCCCCCAGAGTACATTTAGATCTGTTGATATCCCCAGTGCCCAGCAAAGGACCTGCCACTGAAAAAGGGCTTGTGAATGTTTGTTGAATGAACAAATGAACAAATAAATGTTTGAGTGAATCAATGAATGATAGAGATTGCAATGGGGTGAGGGTCTCCTCAGGCCCATCCGCAGTTCTGACCACACTGTCCCTTCCACCCCTCCCGGGAGGAGGGCTCTGCCTGAGTTCCGGCCACACCCCAAGCCTTGGTGGTTGCCAGGCCTGGAAGGCATTTCCCAGAGCTCAGCACATTCCTTCTTTCCCTGGTGGCTGAGAGTGGGCAGGGGGCATTTCAGAAAGAAGGGGGAGGCCCCCAGAATTCCAGGATCGGTTCCGGCCACACCCCAAGCCTTGGTGGTTGCCAGGCCTGGAAGGCATTTCCCAGAGCTCAGCACATTCCTTCTTTCCCTGATGGCTGAGAGTGGGCAGGGGGCATTTCAGAAAGAAGGGGGAGGCCCCCAGAATTCCAGGATCCTGTCATCTAGTCTGGGTCCCCCATGCCCTCGGGAGTAGGCCCCAACCCCTTCATGTGGGATGGGGGACATGTCCACAGAGGGGCCACCTGAACTGGTGTGAAGGGCAGTGTTCTGACTGAGGCGAGGGCCTGGTGTCTGCGCCTGGCTGGACAATGGAGCAGAAGCTGCTGACACGCGCTTTGGGGGTAATCCCCCAGCCTCATCCTGGCCCCAGCCCCAGGCCTGGGTTCAGAGAACCGCAAGCATCCGAGGCAGCGGCCGGGTGGGCATGTGGGGGTACCTGTGCTCCCTGTGCCGCCCGCCGGGGTCTGGTGAGTCAGGGCAGGCTGGGGGCTGGGCCAGGGGCCAGGGGATTTGGGTGAGGCCTGGTGGCCTTGGTTAGGGAATTGAGCAGGTCTGGGTTTGAATTAGGGCTTCTGCCAATTACTTCCTGTGGGTGATCTTGGGTGAGTCGCTTACCCTCTCTGAGTCTCCT